TAACCCATCAAATGGTAATTCCAGGCATTTCTTGAAATTACTTGTTCTTTTTGAGAGTTTCTTAGAACATGTGAAATACATGTGCTTTCTGGAGTTGGAAAAGTTGAGACAGAGAGGCCTTTGCATTCTTCTCTCATCTAGGAATCAAGACTTCTGTAGGGAAAAAGAGAAGAAAGAAGGAGGCAGTTAGTAAATGCAAAGTAGTTTATATGTTTTTTCTAATAAAATCTCATGGGGTCTCCAATGGGAGTCCTTCATTCTGGTATGAGGGGAATGTTGGCATCTGTGTTTCTGCTTCATACAGTCCTCAACTCTTTGTTTTCTTTTCTGGCTTGTGTATATTTAGAAGTTACCTTCATTGTAGATTTAACAACTAATCTCACATTGAAAAGTATTTCTGAGATGTTTCTTGAATGGTTTTTCAACCTTGGCAACATTCATAGGTGGCTGGAAGTGTTAGGTATTATTCCACTACCATTACTGGGATTGACTTTTGCAATCTATGGACTCTGGGTGCCTTCTGTGACTCACCACAAAGTGAGATCTCTAGGGTCTATGCAAGTCTAGCACCTGAAAACTTGTAAGGGATTGGCTCTGTGTCATCACGTCTCATCATTGAGATTTAACGTGAATGAATCAGTCAGTCAGTTGGATATTTATAAAGTTCCTCCTCTGTGCCAGGAAAAGGGGACAGACAGATCAATAAGCAGACACAGTTCTAGCCCTCGGGACTCTGATCTAGAGTGAAAAACAAACCTGCAACAAATGACTTCAATTGCATTCACATTAATAGTCTATGTAATACATATGTTAACTGTTCCCATGTTTGAAGCAAAGACCAATGCTTCAATTCCTCCTATTCACCCTTAAGAAGTCATTTGCCCCAAAGTATATATTTTACTGAAACAGATGAGTTTGATCTCACTGGAAACATTATTTCACTCCAAATCTCCTGATATATATTCCCAAGTCTCTCATGGTTACACAGCCACAGGCCTTCTCTCTCTTTTAGCAGCTCTGCCTGACACAGAACCTCTAAACCTCTCTAGCTCCAGTCCCTCACTTCTAGATCTTTCCTTGAGTCTCTTAATCCCTTCCCTCCTTTCCTAGGTAGAGCAAATTAATTCAGTTCCAGCGGTTTCCAACTTGCATATCTATAGTTTGAAACCAACTTACCATGCCTATAACCCCAGCACTCGGGGAGGCTGAGGCTGGTAGTTTGCTTGATTCCAGGAATTTGAGACCAGCCTGGGGAACATGGTGAAACTCCATCTCACAAAAACAAAAATTAGCCAGGCATGGTGGTGCATGGCTGTAGTCCCAGCTACTAGGGAGGCTGAGGTAGAAGGATCACTTGAGCCTTGGAGGCAGAGGCTACAGTGAACTGAGATCATGCCACTACACTCCAGCCTGGGTGACAGAGTGAGACCCTGTCTCAAAAATAAAATAAAATTAAACCTACTTAACAAACAAGACACCTAACAATTACCAGAAATTTCTCTCATCAAAAGGCAGAGGAATATTTACATAATCATTTTTATTTTCCTCACTTATCTATATGCCTCCTGTCTTCATCCCACTTGCTGCAGTGTTTCCAGCTTTTTGTAACATCCTCCCGGTTAGTATGGGAGTTCTAAATGGATATTTTGCATGTACTCATGAAGTGCCCTCAGTTACCAGGTGATATCCTCCATCTTCTTCTGTTTTTGGTTTTGTCCACTGTGATATTTCCATCTGTTGTGGATACTTTTGCTGCCTACATAGTTGAGTGAAGGAGTCTTGGCTCTGCTTCCAGGAACTACAGCCAAGAGCCTTCCCTCCTTTTAGATAGAGCTGCCATTTCTATAGCCCTGATGATAGTCTTGATCCCTATAAGTGCCTGAGCAGACCCATAGAATATGGGACCCTTGCTGTGCTGAACCACATTGTGTTCAGAACACAAAGTAGGAGAATACTTTCCCACCCCCTTTTCCCTTATAAGTGGTTGTATAAAGACCAGAGGAGTGTTTCCTTGAATCTCATTGCCTGGTGGTATTTTTGAGAAATAAATACTATTTTTTTTTCATATATTTTGATTTTACTGTAGACTTTGAGTGATGATCAAGATATCTAACAGATGACACGGCATAGGACCAACCATGTAGAGTATTTCTAAAGTATAACCCAATTAATCAGATTGGCTGTTGGTAAGCACATCTAATCATACTGGTGCATCCTGGTTTAATATTATCCCTGTTTTGGAAGATCATAACATGAATCTGTGAAAGCCTTGGGTTTCAGAGGAAAGGGATCTCTGAAGTGGGGGAGTCACCATGTTGTTCCTGTCCCCTAAATTCTAAGAAATATTTTCTCAATATTGAAGTATTGTCATAAACAATATAGCTCAGTGGGAAATGAATGTGAGCCTCAGAGTTAGATGGATTGAGGGTCAAATTCCTGTTCTGCCTCCTAAGATATCACAGGTCCTGGGCAATTAACCTCTATGGCTCCACATTTCTCATCAGCAAAATGGGAACAATAGTATATAATATTACATAATTATGGGGGTTCTGTAAACATTAGATGAGAAAATTATTTGTTAAGGGTTAAATAATACTATGAATTATTATTGCACTTTGCTCTTATGTCTAACGAATTCTTTAGAATAAGTTTGGCTTTATCCAGTTCTTTATGCCTAGGGATTCTAGGCAAACTCACCCAACAAATGCAATGAATGTGGCCAGTCATGTAGTAACCAGATAGTCAGGAAGTTGCACCAATTTAGTCATTAATCAGTTCATTCATTTATTTGCTTATTCTTTCATTCCCTCAAACAAAGTGCAGAGTGAATGTTGAGGAATCAGTGATGACAAAGAGAAGATCACTTTAGCAGCTCACAGCAAAAGGAAGAGACAGATAAGGCAACAATTAGCAAGCAACGTGAGCAGTGCAGTTCTGGAGACATGAAGAGAAGGTTATTGAAATTTAACACAGAGAACCATTTATTGGACCTGGAGAAATTAAGAAAGCTTTACCAAAGAATTATCAGAAACTGGTTCTTAGGACAGATTTAGGCACATGAAGTTCTGGTATAAATGGCTCTCGGTCCCTTTGGAAATTTCAGAATGAGTGGGACATTTACTAGGACTCTTTGTAGATATGAGATCAAAACCTTAAAGCCTACACTTCCTTATTCCAGAGTTTTAATAAAACACAAAGTTTTGGGTTCAAGCTACCACAGAATTCAATTGAATATAATTTTTTAGTTCTTAGAAATATTTTACCCTTCATGGAGGTTTGGTAGATGAATTTTAATTGGCTTATTCTTATTATTTGCCTATTATTATTATTATTATTTAAAAAGGGTCTCACTCTGTCATCCAGGCTGGAGTGCAGTGGCAATCATGGCTCACTGCAGCCTCAACCTTCTGGGCTCAAGCGATTCTCCCACCTCAGCTTCCTGAGTAGCTGGGACCACAGGTCCTGGCCATGCCACCATACCTGACTAAGTTTTATTTTATTTTATTTTGTGTAGAGACAGGGAGGGTCACCCTATGCTGCCCAGGCTGTACTCAAAATCCTAGGCTCCAACGATCCTCCCACTTCGACCTCGCAAAGTGTTGGAATTACAGGCATGAGCCATTGCATCCGGCCCTACTCTCTAAATTTTAATGCACCCTGAATTGTGCCCCATTTCTGAATAATCAACAACAAACAACAGTGTTGCTGTTGCCTAGATGCATGATCCCCAAAACATATTATCTTCAGTGTGTCAGTATCCTTAAATGTGCCTACAGTCTCCTTAACTGGAGTTCCAAAAACACAGGAGTCAATTCTGTACATCCTTGGGTTTTCTCATTGCTTAAAATTCATCTTCAGACATTTTTTTCAGAATAATACCAGAATGGTTTGTGGTTGATTTTGTTTTTCTGGAAAAGAAATAAATCAGTCTCTACATTTTTCTCTGTCTCTTTATCCCCTGACCCCTCCTTTTTTGTTTGCATTTCAGGCTTCCCTTTCTTAGTTGTCTACTTTTCCCTCAGGAAATTGTGCATTCCTGCTTTTCATTTATTCTAATTGCGAAAATTCACATGGATATGGACACATAGACGCACAGAGACACACACGTGGAGGAACAGATTTTTAACAGTCTCAGCTGTTTAAAAACACAGGAGCAATTTAATGGAAACCTCACCACTCATCCGTTAGTCTTCTGCCAATTTTCTACTGTATTTAGTTATTCACAAAACACTTCTAGGTCTCAGGTTTGGACTCTCTTCTTTCCACGGATAATTTTCAAATCAAGCATTATTGGAAAGTGTTCTTAGACAACCTGCATTTTGCCAGTGCACTTCATCTTTGTGGCTGTGCATATGTTACCTGTCACTGTGTGTGTGTGTGTGTGTTTGTGTGTGTGCGCGCGCTTACGCACGTGCACACTAGAAAACACCTTAATCACTTTGGAGAGATACTCTGGTTTTTACAGTCCTTTTTCTTCTAGGTACGTCACTTCTCCCGCTTTAGGACTGTAAATCAATGCAGCTGGAGCGCTTTTGAAATTGCTTTCATTCCTTGCAGAGATTTCCAAAAGCAGACTGGCCTGGAGGTTTGAAACAGGCTGAGTCAGTTTGCCTGAGTTCACATACTGGCGCCATCACTTGCCAGCTCTGTGAATTACATCCTGTTAGCCTTTCTGTGACTCAGTTTTCCCATTGATCAATTGGGGTTAAACATAATATCCATGATCTTAGGTTTGTTGGAATGATTAAATGAGATAGTGCATAAGGAGTGCTTTGCCTGGAAAACAGTAAGGTCTTAATGCATGCCATTATTATTGTTGCACAGGAGTGAAGCATGACTCAATGAGGAGACACGCAAAAGTTCAAGAGGCTGCAAAAGTGGTTCAAATATTTTATTGCCGTGTTTGGCATAACTTGCTTCCATATCTGTCCAATCAGAAATTTGTTATTTAGTGTGGAAAGGACTGATGAATCTCAGCAAGGTTTCTCTCCCCAAGTAAATCGCATTAGTTCTGGAATTTGTTTTGACCTCTCCTCTAACTTCTCCCTAAATGCCCATCTCTAACCACTACCAACCTTCACCCACTGCCCTGTTCTCCTTCCAGGACATGGAGATGACAGCTGTGGCTTCTGTTTTTACACCATGACTGCAGTTGCCTAAAAGCCCTCCCAGTTCCTAATGAAAATCCCAACTCATAGTTCATGTTTTCTGCATCTAGTAAACATCTCAGAGCCATTCCCTGAATTCTAAAATTATTGCCTCTTTATATTTACGGGTCCCTTTGTTCAAAGGTTTATACACTGCCTTTGGGAAATCATCTTCTGATAATTTTTCTTTCTTCCTTCACAGAAGCACAGAGATGTCTCCTGTGCAGCCCATTGCTGGCTGTTAGCACACCTAATGTATGCTTGTTCTCACATGGTGTGTCTGTGTAGCCACAGGAGGTTTTTATGTAAACTTCCATACCAGTGTTAAAGACAGCCGTAGCCACCAAAGAGATCCTTGTAAAATATAGGATTAGGATATACCACAGGAATTAATAATTCTCAAGCCACTGCTTTAAATTGTAGCCACATTGTTTTTGTAGGGAAGTTGCTCAGTTTATATACACGGAACACGAAGGGTTGCATTCTGATCAGGACACCAGTTTCATTTAAGACCCCTATACCAAAAGGTACTTAGATAATCCTCTTTAATATGCATATACCATATTGCTTTGTGCAACATATTGCTTTGAGCAACAAATGATGCTAATTTTCTTGCTACTTTGATCCTCTCTGATTATTTTCTTCAACTCCTAAAAGTCTAAGTGAATACGATGAAAGAATACTCCCTGTAAAAATTGTTATTTTATATATTTTTCCTCAGAGTTAAGAATACATGTTTTTTAAAGACATTTAATAATGATACGGGTTTATCATTCTCTATCAAAAATAATTTCATTGGACATCATGCCAATTTTCTTCTTAGGGTCCCTCAACTAAATAGTAACTTTAAAAACATACTGCTAGTTGGCTGTATTTTAGTAGGTCAGCATGCACACCAAAAGTGTATTAAGGTGGACTGCTCTATTTATTGATTTGCCATGAATCTGTTAAAAGCTCAAGGCAATTGTCTGCCGAAGGGGGCGGGAGGGCCATACATGATCGAGGTCATGCGCATCTAGCCAATTTGTAAGATGATCCTGCCGCCCTAAGCCATCAGCAATCCTTAGCATAGGGGCACACTCACGCATTCCTGTCAAGTCATCTTGTGAAAGGCTGCCTGCTTCCAGCTTGGCTTGGATGTGCAACCTTAATAAAACTCACTGAGGTCTGGAAGAAAATAGCAGATCTGAAGCAGATAGGGTAGAGGAAAGGGTCTAGAATATGTACACGCAGCTGACTCAGGCAGGCTCCACGCTGAACGGTCACACAGAGAGGAAACAATAAATCTCAGCTACTATGCAATAAATATCTCAAGTTTTAACGAAGGAAAATATCATTACAGTGAAATAAAAAATTTTAACATTTTAGAACAAAGCTAACAAATGGCTAGTTTTCTATCATTCTTCTTCAAACGCTTTCTTTGAGGGGGAGAGAGTCAAACAAACAAGCAGTTTTACCTGAAATAAAGAACTAGTTTAGAGGTCAGAAGAAAGGAGCAAGTTTTGCGAGAGGCACGGAAGGAGAGTGCTGGCAGTACAATGACAGTTTTCCTTTCCTTTGCTTTCCTCGCTGCCATTCTGACTCACACAGGGTGCAGCAACCAGCGCCGAAGTCCAGAAAACAGTGGGAGAAGATATAACCGGATTCAACATGGGCAATGTGCCTATACTTTCATTCTTCCAGAACACGATGGGAACTGTCGTGAGAGTACGACAGACCAGTACAACACAAACGCTCTGCAGAGAGATGCTCCACACGTGGAACCGGATTTCTCTTCCCAGAAACTTCAACATCTGGAACATGTGATGGAAAATTATACTCAGTGGCTGCAAAAAGTAAGTGATTGCTTTCAGTTTCTAATAGCACGGAGCTTTTTCCGTTCTTGCACTGCAGCTAACTTAAAGTTCCTTAGGGGCGCATTTGTGTGTTTACCTTTTGCTCCAGGGGGGCAGTGTTTGCAATTGCAAGAGGGCTGTCTGGGTTTGGCTTCCTGGGTAAGCCAAGGTTTGGGGGCTTGCGCAATCCTATGAATGTGTGGGGGCACCCCGTGTGTGTGTCTAGCCCTGGTAAATTTTATGACATTTCTGGTTTCTCTTGTTTAAAGTTCAGCATTAAGAGTCTTTCTGTCAAAACTCTACCTTAAGAAAGAAAGCATGTACCTCTTAAGCAAGTTGGTGAAAAATAAATAATCGTAATGAGTATACTAATTAATAAGATCAAATCGATTTTGCACCAGAAAATTTTGTGCCACTGGGGTGGCAAATCATCACAAAGTATTTGGGTTTTTTTTAACCTTTAGAAAAATTAACATGAAGTGAGAGTAAATGTAAAATATGATATTTGGTTGGAGAAATTGTATATTTATGTAAAGGGAACTGTTAATTTCAGCAAGTGGTAGAATAGTAGAGGACTGATTTCTGTTAAATATTTTTTCTTCTGTCCTTGAGAAAAAAAATTTAAAAAGATACATTGTAATGTGAACTGTCAGAAAGGGCTTGCTTGCTCACAATGAGAACACGCTGGCTGTTGAGGAAGACATGCACCTGCAGATTTGGGCTGAACGCAACATGTAGTCTCTACTATATTCCTGAAATACCTCCCTTCTCAGGGCATTGTAGTTACAGAGACAGTACGTGGCGAGTTTAAGTGTCCATGTTATTTGATGAATGTTAATGTCGAGTATGAATGTAAACTCAATTTATAGAAATCAAATCAAATAGTTTATCCAGTTATTTATCTACAAACCATTTAAAAGTTTTTGTTGAAGATATGCCTATTAAATTATGACCACACTTCTGCAATTCATTCTGTCTTTGCACTCTGTTTAATAATAGGCAGCCGAGAATAAGTATATTCCACTGACTATGCCACTAGAATGGAGGCAATGTCCCAATTTGTGAAAAGCTTCTCTCCCTCGTTAATGGATTAACTTAGTACATATAAATAGGTATGCAATCAGGCTTCTTTAAGTTAGTCTGTAAACGAGGCAATCCCTTTAAAAAGATAAAAGATAGGGAAAGGACAAATGCTCTATTTTGTTCCTGTGTGATCACACTCGCTTAGGTCATCGCCTGCTGAATCATGCCAAGTAATAGTTATTCTACTTTTGTCCACTAGGGACTGAACTAAGATCACTGTTATTTTATTTGACACATTAACTGGAACTTAGTAGTTCTACAGTTTCCAAACCTGATATTGTAATCTTTCTATTACAGACTATAGGACTGTAATACGCAATCAGTAGGTGGGTAGAAGAATAAAAAGCAAACAGAACTCTCGGTTTTTTTTCAATTGTAGCTTAAATTTTAGGCACTACTTTCAATAGTAGTTTATAATAGGATGTTTGTATTTTTCTTTGGTAAAACTTATTTCCATTGTAAACAAATGATTTTGGTTGAATAGCTTGTTGTTATTCTTCAGTACACCATCCATATAGTTTTTAGTGAGAATCCAATCATATATTAGTCTGGATTCTTTGAGGGAATGGGGAGGAAAATTTAGTCCCAAGTTACCCCGAATGATCTCTTCTACCAAAAACGTAATGTTTTGTTTGCTTAAAACGTATAATCAAAATAGTGATTCAAACATAGTAATGCATATTTCTTGTTGCTATGCAATTATTCAGCAGTGACAGGGTAAACACATAATTCTGCTGGGCTTAAATCATGCACGTGTTTCATATGTTAATTTATTTTGCAAAATAAATTTGATTCTTGTTTGCATTGTTCTTGGTCAATGATTGTGGGATAGCTTTCAGATTATAGCCAAGAATAACTATTAAAATGTTCTTTGGTTACATTGACCCTTTCAAGTGTAAATATCAAGCTGAATATATGCTGAAAACGTCCCTATTGGTATGAGTCAGAGCAGTGTGGCTTGACTATTGTCAGTTTAAATTTGCATATCTTTTGTCATTGTCAATGTGATTGGTTGGAGGATCAAGAAACCAAATAAATGCATTCAACAAAGAACTTGCTAAAGGCTTTCATAAGTTTCCCTTAATTAGGAGTTTTCTTCACTCCAAGTTCTAAAATTCATGTGATATATTGATTCTGGTAATAGAAATGGGAACCTTTTTACTGTAACTATTTGGTATGCTCAGTACTGCAATTTGTATTACTTCTATTTTGATTCCAAGTAGTTGCCATAGACGGAAGCAATACCCTGCAGAAACTGAGGCTATCAGTGTATGTAAGTGAAATTAATTCATCCATTTATTCGGCAAAATAATTAATCAAAGCATAGTGATTATTATGCAGCTCATGGCATCGCTATCAGGAAAGATTTTGAGGCAGAATACATGTGTTATCAATGCTAAATGAAGCTATATGATACTTATGTTAATGCATCCCCTTTCATGAAGGGAAACCTCCTTCCTCAACTTTTCTGGTCTTGCAACTGAACAGGATGAGAAGCAAGGCATGCGAGGGGGCAAATGATTTGTCGGTCACCATAAATACTGGAACTGTTATGGCACTGCTATCTTGATGTGATGGATTTAATTCAAAGAGATCAACTTTCCATAATCACTGGTTGATTAAAATGAGGCAGGTTGATAGCATTATTGTGACTTCTCAGACCAGGAAGAGTGGTATGAATAATATGCATCATATTATAGTGGTATGAATAAAACTATGCATCCTAGTTTTATTTTGTGAAACACCTGGGTGTGTTTCTGGGTTTGATCTCTTCTATAATATAGCTCTTTTCAGAATTATTAGCAAGTCATAGTAAACACCTGAAAGTGACCCGATCTTAGGTCAGTAACAATAAATACAACTGGCCCCAGTGTCTTTGTCACTTTCTTATGATCTCTTCCTACTTCTCTATGACAGGGAAACATTTAGCCCACATCCTGTGCTTTGTGAACTACTGTTTTCTGTCTCCACATCTCAAAAAGTTCACAAAGATGTACATTTAAAACATTTAGATTTAAATGTGTATAATGTTCTAGGATTTGGGGAATCCTTAGAAGACCTATTTTGCTTTTGCCAAATGATGTCTTTTTTGGTTAAAAATTTAAATAAATTGAGTGGATAATGCCTTGTAACAGAAAACAATAGTCTATTTGCTATAAATATTTTACACTAGCTCAAATTGATGACTATTAATGGAAAATATGGTTATGAATTGTCATCCAGAATATTTTAAGAAATACAAAGATTTTACTGGACTATTTAGCTGTTTTTCTATTGATGACATTTTTTGGTTAAGGATGTCCTCTGTTTGCAGATTGTATTCTTTTCTTCAGAGTTAAGATTTGGAATGCTGTTACCCAAAACACATTGATGATGATGATTTTTTTAAACCCATATATTACATATATATTAATCCCTATTAATATCCATTAGAATGTGACCTCCACGAGGCCGGTGACCTTGTGTGTTTGTCCAATATCATATCTTCAGTGCCTGGAAGAGTATATAACATATTTATAAAATAAATATAAAATAAATATTTGTTAAATGAACAAATGAATGAGTTATCTATTGCAATCTGCACTTTGCTGTCTACCATCAGCATTTTATTTGAGGCATACACCTTACCTCCTCAATAGATTGTAAGTTGTCCTATATGCAAGGACTATACCCTACAGTTATTTTTGTCCTAATACTAGTTAAAACAATATTGGGTCCAGAGTAGGTGCTTATTAATTATTCAAATTATATTTAACCAGTGATCTAGAATCTCAAAAACTTCTCTAGTCACTCTAGTTCAACTTCTTAATTATTCTCTAAGGGTCAGCTCTGTTGCCAGTTTCTCCAGGAAATCTACCCACATTCCACTTACCCTCCCAGGGCGAGTTCTCAAATGTCATTGCAGTACATTGACTGTATCATGTTAACACTGTACTTCTAAGTTGTTGTGGTGGTTGTTTTAATTATTTGTTTCTAGGTTTGTTTTCCCACCTAGACTGTGAGTTCCTCAAGTGTAGTAAATGTCGCTTATCCATTTTTATATCTCTGAACATGTTCATTAAGGGTCTGGATTAATTTCTCTGTTATAGTAATAATCAGTTTTTAAGAGATCAACTGCTCAAGTATATAGTGGTAACTATAACATAATGCAATTTAAGGGACCTTGTAACTACTTTAAAGTTTGCTTAAATGTTAGCACTAGGCTACTTGAGGGTCAGCTAGATATTCTCCTGTGTGATAATGTTTTGTACTTCTATAAGCACAAGAACTTAGTATTTCTTGTTCAGTACAGTAGGGAGCCATTTACTGCATACATCTATATAATATGCATATATCTGTATAATATGTGCACATGAGAACTTAATTATAATAATATACATCTATATAATATGTGCCCATGAGAACTTGATTATCATAATATACATCTGTATAATATGTGCACATGAGAACTTAATTATAATAATATACATCTATATAATATGTGCCCATGAGAACTTGATTATCATAATATACATCTGTATAATATGTGCACATGAGACCTTACTTCTCACTGGTATATTATTGTTTCGGTGGCTGGTGGTGGCTGTGCAACACTAAGTCAGAGACAATGCTCTTATGTTTTATTTTCACATTTGTGGAAACTTCCTAAACGTGTGAAATGGGTAGACATTGGCCGGGCGCGGTGGCTCACACCTGTAATCCCAGCACTTTGGGAGGCCAAGGCGGGCAAATCCCCTGAGGTAAGGAGTTCGAGACCAGCCTGGTCAACACGGCAAAACCCTGTCTTTACTAAAAATACAAAAACTTTGCTGGGCCTGGTGGTGCGTGCCTGTAATCCCAGCTACTAGGGAGGCTGAGGCAGGAGAATGACTTGAACCCAGGAAGCGGAGGTTGTGGTGAGCCGAGATCACACCACT